CGGTGTGCCTAGGCAGTGCGAAATCAGTATCAGGGCGGGTTGTCAGTGAGGTATTTTGGAGCTTCGTTCTTGGAGCACTGATGTTCTTCATCTATGTCAGCGGCTGCATGACAGGACTGGATTACAGGGGAATCATGTTTGTTGGTGACATCAAAAAACGACACGCGACCAAATAAATTAATGATGAAGGACAGTGCAGGAAGGACTAAATCGTCAGTGCATATGATCTGCTTATGATCCGGGAAGACGGCTTTGAGATGTTCTTGGAATGTCAACACCTTATCGCCTTCGATGACGACGAAGGTATCATCCACATAACGGGTCCAGAATTTCGGTCTGTGGTGTGAAGACCAGCGACTATAACCGTTGCAGGACCGCCTCGGCGATGAATCCCGAAATCGGCGAACCCATTGGTGTGCCCTTCACCTGTTCGTAGATTGTCCAGCCGAACTTGAAGTACGTCCTTAGACAGAGCTTCTTGAGCTGAAGGATTTCGGCGTGTCCAAGACGGTTATCCGTTTCATCGTATTTGCTTTGTCGTAGCAGCTCAATTGTCTCGATCGCCAGATCCGCGCGGCCGGGGGAAGTGCTTTCCAATGTCGAACGTGATGCGCTTAGAGAACTCAAGGCCGACAAAGTCCTGGTCATCGTGACAGCGGACAAAGGACGCGCCGCAGTTGTACTTTACAGGGCAGACTACCTTCAAAAAGCCAAAGGTTTACTGGAGGAGCGACAGTTCTATGTCCCATGTGCAACGAACCCCTTAAAGGCGCTGACACGCGAAATTAATGCTACGTTGTTGGCCTTAGAGAACTCAGGTGCAATAACACCGAGCGACAGACGCATGGCGAGACCCCAAGATACGGCTTTGGCCCGATTCTTTGGCCTCCCTAAGGCGCACAAAGACGGCGCTCCTCTCCGACCCATCGTGTCGCTCAAAGGGACTCCAACGCACGGACTGGCTAAGTGGCTGTTCTGGCGTCTCAAGTTCCTGACCGCTGAGTCAGACACCACCGTCTCTTCGTCAGCACAATTCCTGGAGAAACTCAAAGGGGTAAGCATCCATCCAAATGAGGTCATGGTATCTTTTGATGTTACATCCCTTTTTACTTCTATTCCCCAGGACCTGGCGATCGAGACAATTGAACTGCTACTACAAAACAAATACGATGAAACGGAGAACCGTCTTGGACACGCCCAAATCCTTCAGCTCCTGAAGCTCTGTCTCAGTACGTACTTCACGTTCGACGGGACAATCTACGAACAGGTGAAGGGCACACTAATGGGTTCGCCAATTTCGGGATTCATCGCCTAGGTGGTCCTGCAACGGTTAGAGTCGCTGGTCTTCACACCACAGACCGAAATTCTGGGCCCGTTATGTGGATGATACCTTCGTCGTCATCGAAGGGGATCAGGTGTTGACATTCCAAGAACAGCTCAACGCCGTCTTCCCGGACATTCAATTTACGATGGAGGAGGAAGATAACAACCAGCTGGCCTTCCTGGAGGTCTTCGTATGACCCAAAGATTGTGATGGACTAAAAACCAGTGTTTAGGAAAGCGACAAATACGATGCAAGTACTGCACTTCAACAGTAACCACCCAATCAGCCACAAACGCAGTTGTGTAAGGACGCTCTATCGGCGTGTCGAAACACACTGCAGTGAGCCGGAAGACAAAATTGCTGAACTACAATACCTCCGACGGGTCTTCAAAGCCAACGGCTACCCGCGCAACTTCGTCGACCGGTGCATACGCAAAAGGGACGAAAGGCCTAACCGCACGGACACCAAGTCTTGGCGGGCACTTCCGTATGTCAAGAACGCACCACTTGGGGTTGGAGTGGCACATAGACCGGAGGCAACCATCAGGGGTCTGATCATGAAACCGAAAGACCCACTGCCACGGCTAGAAACGTCTGAAGTCGTTTATCGGATCTGGTGCAGTTGCGGACAAAGCAACTACGTCGGAGAAACCGGAAGACAGCTCCGAACGAGAATGGCCGAACACGCGGCAGCGGTGCGCAGAAATGACGCCAGCTCTCAAGTTGCAGCTCATTCGACGAGATCCGGCCACACATTTAAATTAGATGAGGCCGATATTCTCGCAAGAGGTGACAACCGCGTGAGCCGGGAACTACTGGAATCATGGTTTACTGGCCCCCAGTCCATCAACAAGAGCAAAGATCTTCCCATTAAATACAGCGTGCTGAGACTTCGTCTAGGCGGAAAAATTGGCCACGCGGGGAGCGCACTGGTGAACACTCTTCCCAACACCCGGGTCAACGCGTCAGATAGTCGAGCAATCATCACGCCAACATCCAACGCACGTGATGAAATTGCGGCAATTATCGACTCGAATGTCGGCCATCGAGCAATGATCACCCCAAGTGCGACGATCCCGGATGAAAAGGGAAGCCGTGAATGTCCATAGGTATGCGGTAGCATGGCTACTGCATCCTATACATACCGCAGCCCCTTGTGCAGCAACCACCCGTTTCTGCTCTTTTGTCTCTGATGATGGATTCGAGTAGGAATCCGAAACGTCAGGCTAATAAAGCTCTTGTCCCGGAGATCGTGTCTCCTTCTTCAAGACTACTTCCTGGGACTCGGCTCTTCGCTTCTATTGACAACTTGTGGTCTCAGATCTGACCCACTTTGGGAGCTGACGTACACATCGACAACTCGGTCGTTTCATTCGTGTTCACCCATCTTGCACTTTCACTTACTGAGTAGCAGTTGGTCTGTCTGCACTTTCAAGTCCACTTTGCGCAAATTTGCAGTGCAGCAGAACTTTCGATGCATTGCCTGCCTCTCAATTGCCGAATGTAAGCTGACTCCTGCAATAGGTTCACATTTACTAACAGGCGTACTGGAAATAAATTGTTTAGTGCTGTACAGAATTGCTGCGATTAGTAAACAGCGGGGTTGTAAACATGAGACCGGTCATCAGATATCTGGTTATTTTTAAGTGCTGCCATCGGGTGCGGGTTTTCGTCCTATTAACAAACTCCGCCTCTCCTGCCTGCAGTATTCTTGACTCTGTCTTGACAACGGGTCCATATGGGGGAGGGGGGGGGAGAGTGGGATAGATGCTGAACAAGTCTACATCCATTTTAAACCAACTCAAACGCCAGTCACCGTACATGCTCCCTGGCCCTGCTGTGAGCACACGGTGGACAGCGGCGGTAACGATGGTCGACCTGTCATTG